CAATTGATTTTTCATAAGACCCCATAATTTGTACATCCATAACTGTATCGAACACACAATAAACCTGGTGTCAAAAATCAGGTGATATCATAAATAAGACATTGCTAAGTTTTAGTGTCAAGTGAAGACCATGGGGGAATCCATATTGTCACATTTATTTTATCATGGGATAAAGTACATAAATGAAAACGCATGATTTGAGAAAGTTAGATGTTATCTGAACTTGATGACATGAGGTTTTAAAAGCTGACTGTTGAATTTATAGTTAAAAGCTAAAAAACCTGTTGCTGAAAGAGTATGGCTGTTTGACTTAAAGTGTGTGCTAAATACAGTCGTTTCTCTCTTCTAGGGGATTGATTCCAGGATCTCCCTCCTAACTGCTGTGTTCCCACCACAGGGACACCAATATCTGAGAATACTCATTTATATAAAATGGTATAATATTTGCATATTATTTATGCACATCCTCCTTTATGCTTTAAATAATATCTGTATTACTTAGATTACTTAAAACAATGAAAATATTATGTACATATTTGCTTTATAATATTACTTAGGAAATAATGACAAGAAAAACAGTCTATACATGATCTATTAGTTTTGATTTGCACTGGATTCAATCTGCAAATATAAACCTCCAAGATACAGAGAACTAATAGTGTATCTTTGTTTAATAAATAAAGATTGTATTTTCTTTTGCCAATAAATAGTTCCTGGGAGCCACATCTGGTGCTAAAACAAACTGAGCTGCAAACCATCTATGTACAGAAAGAAAGAAAGAAAGAGAGAGAGAGAGAGAGATAGAGAGAGAGAGAGAGAGAGAGAGAAAGAGAGAGAGAAGAAAACATAAACTGCAAAGAACAAAAATAAATCAACCTAGTGAAAAGCTATAGATGCTCAGGAAGAAAAGAAGCTATGCTAAGTTTGGAAAGAGATGCAATTTCAGAAGTACTAAGTGCTAATATAATTAAGGAAAAAAACTGCATCTGTGATCAGTGACACAGCCCATGCTGCTGAGTGCACAAATTGAGGTTAAGTTTAAGGACTTCAGGAACCCACAAGGAAGGAGTGGGGTGTGTTAATTAAGAGGAACTTCACACATGATCAGTATTGTAGTAGACAAACAGAAATAGGACTCATTGTCATCTTTGGCCTTCAGGATAGCTAAATGGGACAATTGTCTTAACACAAAATTGAAGACAAAAGTCATTGAAGGAATGCTTCACAGTAGAAATAGAAAAGAGACCATGGTTTGCCATAGGTATGCAGCCATATTCAAAGACATAGAATAAAAGCATATTTTAAAATATTTTCAAAATAGGATATTGGGTTTAAAATGAATTTAATTGGTCTCCAAAATACCTGTTAACCTAGTTTCTAATGATCCTAGTTTCTATAGGGGAAAAATTTCCAAACAGAAATTTCATTCTGAAAAAAATGATATACCTTTCTGATCACCCTTTCATTCTATATTTTTATCTTTTAAGCAAAACTTTAAGGTTAAAGGGTCAGCGTAATAAAACATACTTGTAGATATGATTAATCCATCTCCCTTACACAAATGTAGATTTCTGAGATAGACAGGTTATCATGCTTATCTTTCCCAAAAGTTCTTGAGAATTATTTTTACCGTTTTATGTTTTATATAGGATGAAGTCCTTATCAGTAATAAGTAAGTATAGATGTTAGAAAAACATCAGCATTCATTTTCCACGGATGTAAAATTCTTGAAATTAAGATATAACATTATTGCTATCAAAGCATTGTGGACTTGCCAAACCTGTAATATATATGCATTTTCCCACATCTTGCTTTTAACACCCTCCTGTTGCCTTCCAGTCAAGGAAATGTCATTGTGCATCTTTGTAGGTGATTGATGTTATTATTGGTGCTGTCAGTCTGTCCCATTATATAAACTTTAATGACCATTTGTTAAAATAAATTACTTGTGATGGTATATCTTGGGTCATGATCCTAATGGCCGAAAGCTTACAAAAAGTTTTTCCTTTCCCCAGGGAAGGAGCAGAGTAGGACTTTATAAGATTTATTAAGGCAAATTATTTAAAAAAATTGATATTTGTTTACTTTGGTTGCCAGGCATGTAGGTACTTTTTTTTTTTACATATAATCAGGTTATTCACTATAAAATATAATTAGGCCATTTGCCTTAAGCAGCTTGAAAACATTCACTGAAAAATGGGAGAAACAGTTCTTTTTCCATAAGAAAACAAAGCTAAAAATATGCAATTGAGTCATTATTAAATATATAGCAAATTTATTATATAAAAATATTTATGGAAATCTATTTTCACCTTGCCTAGTCACCCATCCTTCATCTCTTTCTGTTCTCTTCCTCTTAGCATTTTTGATGTAGTAAAGGAGCACTGATATGAAATAAGGAAACTTGGTTTCAAGTAGCTTCAACTTGGCTTTAACTCAAGATATACTGTAATATGACTTTCTTATCTAAACTTCTGTTTATGTTTCATCTATAATTTTGGGATGGAGAAATATCTGTAGAAGAATGAAGCAAAATAAATAATTATTATGTGAATTATAGGAGTGTATTATATGTCATATGTATATATAGTTCATTAAAGTGTTAATATATTACTACATATTATATATCTGTCAAAACACAAAATTGAACATCAAAGACTTCTTTGTCTTTTTCAAATTTTGTTAAAGTTGTGAAAATCAATTACTAGAATTTGAATATCTTATTTTGACCCTTTAGGAAAGTTTGAGGATAGAAAAGATTTTATTAAAATAAAATATAAAATAACAAATATTAGGACTGACTTCACTGGTGTGCTGTGGAGATAAAATGACACATTTAAGTACTTTAAGCAAGGCAAACAGAAAGCATTCAATAAATGCCACAGTTTTTCTTTCTCTCTCTCTCTCTCTCTTTCTTTCTTTCTTTCTTTCTTTCTTTCTTTCTTTCTTTCTTTCTTTTCTTTTCTTTTCTTTTTTTTAAAGAGAGAGTGAGAGAGGAGAGAGAGAAAAAGAGAGAGAGAATTTTTAATATTTATTTTTTAGTTCTTGGCGGACACAACATCTTTGTTGGTATGTGGTGCTGAGGATCAAACCCGGGCCGCACGCACGCCAGGCGAGCGCGCTACCACTTGAGCCACATCCCCAGCCCTCTTTTCTTTAATTTTTTTTCTTTTTTTGATACTGGGGTTTGAATCCAAGGGTGCTTCACCACTGAGCTGCATAACAAGTACTTTTTATTTTTTATTTTGAGACAAAACCTCACTAAGTTGCTTAAGGCCTCACTAAGTTGCTGAGTCTAGCCTGAAACTTGTTTAGTCTCCAGAGTCATTGGGATTACAGGTAGGTACCATGATGCCTGGCAAATGCCAGCTCTTAAACTTGCCATCCTTATTCTCATTATTCACCACCTGATTTATTAATTTCCTAGTTGATTATTCTCACGTTCTCTTTATCTTTTATTCCCTTTGATCTCTCCCAAGCTGAAGCCAAGTTAATCTTCTGACACTTGGTTCTTATTGTTTCTCTGACCTGATTCAACACTAGCTAGGTCCTCCAAAGCCTTCCTTTCCCTGCCATTTCCACACTCTGGTGCCACCTTAACTCCCCAGCTTAAGCTCTCAGTGTGTGTCACCAGGACACTTAGACAGGATGCAGCAAAACAGCACAATTGTTCCCCAGATGTTGTATCTGTTGTGTATCCTTTTACCATTTTCTCTTTTACTTAAACAATAGGCTTCTTCCTCTGAAATCTATTAACCCCTCTTCCCTGTGGGAGAGACAATGTCTTAGTCAATGCAATCTGACAGCTATAAAAGGAAAAAGGATACTTCAAATCTGAAGGATTTTTTGCAAGAAAAGCTGTGCACACTAGTACAGCTGGGTGAATGACATAGTCAACACAGAAGGCAAAAAGCCTGGAGGATCATGGTAGCTGGTCAAGGGCATAACATCCATTTATATTTTCATTGGCCAAATTTAGTCAAATGGTCCTATTCACTATAAGGAAGGCTGAAAACCCGCACAGTAAAAGAAAATTTAACAAAAAATAGCATTTTTTCCCCACCATACTCAAAGAGTTTGGTAAAGGTCTCTAAGATATCTTCTGTCATTTCTCCTCTTTGAAATTGCATGACCTCCCATCTGGCATTAAACTGTCAGCATTATGGGGATGAATATCCCACTTGTGTCTAACGCTCTTGTGACAAGATTGAACTCAAGAGGGGGAAGGTAAGAATTGTTTTAATTCATGCTCTCTGCTCCTTTCACTATCCGTATGCAACCTTGAACATGGAACTGCTCAAAAACTACTGTTAAAAGAAGAAACACTCCAGGTGTCCTGGCACTTGTCTGTAATCTCAGTAGCTCAGGTGGCTGAGGCAGGAGGATGGCAAATTCAAACAGAGCATCAGTGATCAAGCAAGATACTAAACAACTTAGTGAGACCCTGTCTCAAAAAAAAAAAGTGTATTGTGGGTGTGGCTTAGTGGTTGAGTGGTGCTGAGTTCAGTTCCTGGTACCAAAAAAAAAATCACATCAAGAAAATAGAGACAAAGGGGAGAGATATGGAAATGGAGATAAAGGTGAATAAAGAGGAAAAGGGAGAGAAAAGGGTGGAGGAGAAGAAAGAGTAGCATAAGAAAAGAAAGAGAAGCATAAAAATATAAAATTTTATTGCAAATTAAAAATGTGTGTGTATATCTGTTTTAATAGAACACCCACAGAGTTTGAGTAAAGCTTTTAACTAATTTGCATGGGATATGATTAAATTACAGTCATTGTATCCAAATTTCGTTATTAAAATAGGAATACATTATTTGAATTTTAAAAATTAACTAATAATCTTAGTAACATTTAATATCTGGATGTTAAATGATCACACTGCGGAAACCATTCATTGCAGAACTTTAAAAAGAGGAGATTATGTGAATTTTATGAAACAGAACAAAGCGGGTAACTGAAAGAAATGTCCTGTTATGTCTGATCCTCACCCCTTACACTAGCTGGTGTTATCCTCGAACATGAAACTGCTCAAAAGCTCAAGGAAAAAAATAAAGGGCAAGAATTCTAGCCCCGCCTCCAAATGGAAGAATCGGAATTGGCCCTTTTGCAGTCTTCTCCACTGATATGTAAGCCTCTTAGGACATTTTGGGCTGCTGTACAGGAACACTGCACACAAGGTAATTTATAATGAACAGAATTTTATTTGGCCACAGTTCTGGAGGCGGCGATGTCCAAGATCAAGGTGTTGGCATCTGGTGAGAGACTTCTTGGCAGAAGAAAGAAAAGGCAAAGAGAGAAGGGGCCAAACTCACCTTTTCATAATTCCATCCATAAAGGTGGAGTCCACAAGGCCTAATCACCTCTTAAAGGCCCCACCTGTCAACACTATTATGATGTCAATTAGATTCAGCATGAATTTTGAAGTAGAAAAACATTGAAATCACAGGAATAAGCAATGTTTTAAAAAGGCTGCCCCAAAAGGTTATAAAATCCAATTAATCCATTAATTAATCAATTGACCCATCTAAAAGAGTTTCCATGGGTCTCACTCTCCGTGCCCAGAGTATTGAATCAGAGGACACCAGTTTTATTAACCTAAGGCCCCACATATACCAAATTTTCTTTACCCTGTGTACTACAGCATGAACTCTGATCCTTCAAAGCAGTTAAATCCAAGACTTGACTTCTGTTATTTTGCTGTTGTTTGTTTCTTTAGTTTTGGTTTTGTTTGTCCACTTGTTGGTAGTATGGATTGAATCCAGGAGTACCTAACAATTTAGCACAACCCCAGCCTTTTTTTATTTTTATTTTTTTATTTTGAGACAGTATCTTGCTACATTGCTTAGAACCTTGCTAAACTACTGAGGCTGGCCTCAAACTTGCAATCCTCCTGCCTCAGCCTCCCTGGAAACTGGGGTTACAGGTGTGTTGATTACATTTCTTGATAAGACTAAGGCATAAAACAACAAAACAAAGGTGAAAAGAACCATTCAGCCCTTGAAAGCACAAAGAAAACTCACCAAATATAAAAGGCACCCTACAAATAACAGCAGTCTGAGTCATTCCAACCCTCATGCCAAGGGAAAAAAAATAAACATATTATTTTGGTAAAGTCTATTAGCAACACAAAAAGCTTTCTGGGGACTTTTACAATACTGCTGTGTTTCATCAAAATTTTTGACCACTATAGAAGATAAGGCTTTATTTATTATTATTATTATTATTATTATTGTTTATTATATAAATAATCTTATAACAAGTTATAAATATTATAATTAACAATAATAATATTGATTATTTTTGGACATGTTGTGTAAGCATGTATTTTTTCTTTCTTTTAAAGAGCAAAAAGGAGGCAGGTAATTAGGTAATTTAACAATAAAACCACCTTTAATTCTACTTGGCTCACAACAGAATTAAACGTCTTGTGAGAAAAGGTGATTACATTATTTTAAAGGAATTAATCACTGTGGCCTGAATTCTGTAGCCTATGACTTTCTCCTTAGTAAATGGACCCATGAGCTATTTTTCAAGGCTTCTTTTGACAATTCAATGCTGAAATTCAGGATGTGATTTGTTCTCACAAGACTAACTCCATCTCTATTTCCAGAAAGGCTCTTGCTCTTCAAAGAGGTAATGCTGGATGCTGTATCCTCTGCTTAATATTGCAGTTCCTTTGAATGTAGGAAATTGTAGCTCAATGGCAAGAATGCACACCCACAAACACACACACCCCTGAAAACATACTCACAAGAGTAGCTTAAAACACAGTCCTTTCTATATGCTCATTTTTTTTTCTAGTTGGGGCCAGACTCTTTGACTGAGTTAATCTCCCAGCTAATATTAGGCTGTAATTCTGATTCGTTTTCCTGGGACAATGGACTATGCCAGGTATATGCCATTCATGAGCAGTAGAGGCAAGATAAGAGATGGTACATGTCTGTCAGATGGTACAATATCCAATGCAATTGCTTTTCAACATGGGTAATATCCAGCCCTGAAATTTTTTGATGTCCAGCAGATTTTCTAATAAATGTTCTGGGTTTCAGCAGGAGGCCATCTTTGTATCTTTCTCAGTAAAGTGAAGATGATAATAACAACACTATTTGCTGGATTGTTTTGGGAATCACCTGTGAAAGTACCTTAGAAAATGTTTAACAAACCAATAGGTTTAAAGTGACTGAGCCTGCAAATTACAGCAGTCTGAGTCATTCCAACCCTCATGCCAAGGGAAAAAAATTAAACACATGTACCTCTCTATTAATTTAATGACCATTTTTTTTCCAGTTAGAATGTAGTAAGTGTATAACTTCAGTTCACTTTGTCTTGTTATATCTCAGTTATTAGGATAGCATGGTATTCACAAAATAAATTTTCTGGTTTCAGGCAGCCATAACTGAATTCTGCCTGTGTTGTTTACTCATTGGTAGATCCTGTACAAACACTAGCTGTGAGACTTGAAGAATGTCCTTACATAAAGGAAAAAATAAGGCATTCCTTTAAATAATAAAAGAGACAATATTGTACTTGAAAATCACTTAGCACAGCATCTGGCATATGATGACATATAAAATCAGTTTTCTTTCTGTCCAATTTCAGATTTCTGCAACTGTAGAAATGATTGATTTGTCACACACATGTTGGAGGTATTAACTGAAATCATTTGATCTCTGTATGTTAAGTGAAAAATACTTTGAATGAACATATGCTATTAGCATTCATTTGCTAACAGCAAAATGATAAAGTTTAACAGATTTTTCACATGTATTTTCTCTTCCAATGAGTACTGGAAACCTCATGTATTCTCTTTGTCTTGCTCCCAAATCCTGCAATGTCAGCAGGAATGACTGACCAGATTATTATTTTTGGGGGGGGGGGGAATATTGTCAAATGGTGATGAGGAACATACACAAATCCATAAAATAAAATAACATTTTAATTCCATGGGATGCAATATCATGCAGCATAATGTTTAATCGGTTGCAATTTAACTGAGATTGATGTTGAATTGCACTCTGGACAATCCAGAGATGTTGACGACCATATGCTAAATTCCTTGAGGTACAGTGAGAGGAGCTTGTATGCTTGTTAAGGACATGCCAGGCCATCAGCAACATATGTATTGGATGGCTTCATAACACACGTGCTCTCAGAGGGGAGTCATATGGAAATATCATAGTCTGAACGAGGAATTTGCATTCCCTTTTGTGCTATTGAGAAGATTATAGTTTTGTCTTAAAATTCAATAAAACCTCAAATTACTTTTTCTTGAAATATGTAGAGCTTCTTGAACATCTCTTTAGAGACATTCAACCTTGTTTCTTACACATTTAGTTCAATTTTGGGACGGATAGGAATTGTCTTAGGAGGTAAATGTCCCTCCTCATGTGGAGGTCTTCATTAGTATTATCAATATTATCATCAGTTTTAAAACATTATTTACTTTAGTCTGATAAGCATTTTATGTGCATGATTCTGTTCAATCCTGAAAATTCCATCTTGATACATCTCTTTTAGGGACATATGACCTCATCTGGCTACAGAGGGCATTAGGAAATATGACCTGTCCTATGAATAGCAATGTGACTAGTTAAAAAAAATTGATTCTGGATTCTGACTGAGCTTGGTGGGGAATGCCAATAATCCTACTGACTTGGGAGGCTGACACAGGACAAGTTCAAAGCCAGCCTCAGCAACTTAGTGAGGACCTAAGCAATTTAGCAAGACTCTGTCTCAAAATAAAAAATAAAAAGGACTGGGAATGTGGCCCAATGGCTAATTAGTGGTTAAGTGCCACTGAGTTCAATTCCCAGTAACAACAGGAAAAAATAAATAAAAAGGATGAATCTATAATTAAAGATGAAGTGGAAATTATATTGAATACTGTTAGTAATACATGCCACAAAATCTAAAAATAGTACTCTAAAAAAATCACTCAAAATTATTTTCATTTGAAAACAGTAGCTTAGGAAACATCATTGTTGATATATTATGAGTAATCTGAATGGAAAGTTGACAAATTTTTATTAAGATCTCCGAACTCATATTTACATTACTGCTTATAAAATTGTCAGTAATAGGTAACAATGTTTTAATCTTTAGTAATGAAGACACAACTGTGGCATTTCTACACTACTTCAGTGATACACATGTGTCAAATGAAGGTCAGGTTGCTCATACCATGCTACAACTACAAAAGTTTTATAGTGATTCAAATAGAGAAGAATGGTTGTATTTGATTCCCCAAGTGTACAAGGTAGAAGTGATGTTACAATTGCAAAAGATACTTGCCCTAAAAATCACATGGCAAGCTTGAACTTTATTACAGCAAAAGAATAGCAGTTGTCAAAAAATTCATGCTTTCTAATGTGAATTTTACTAATGTGTAGTTTTGGGTAGGGATAACTACACATTTTGTGTATAATTAATTATAAATCTGTGGTTTTATGGTTGTTTATTATAAGTTTCTAACTAGTTTTATGTTGATTGCATGTATATATAGTAAAAGTAATTTAAATCAGTATGGGTTCCATTTCTTTTTCTTCCATTTAAATGAGTTTATTTATACATTATTCAAATTTCAGAAAGACACACAGAAAGTGCCTAGAAGATGTTAACATCATAACTGCCTGTGGTGGTGGAGTCAGCCTCCCTGTCTCCTGATAAATGATAAACATAGCCATTCACATCCCACTAGGCTGCATGATCTCCAGCCTGAGATTAATTGAGACTTTTCTCTCCAATTCCCTCTTCTAGGCATCTATCACTTTCTTCTTTGTTCCTTAGGTACATGTGTCATTGATCAGGAAAGATTTAATGCCACTACTTTTGACTTCTCATTTTGAACAATATTAAAATGCAGGGTGCCCATCTGAGCATTTCATAAGAGTCATCGATGGACTGACCAAAGGACCACAAGAATGAAAGTACTGAGTGGACTCTAGATATGGAGATGCACTGGACAGACAACACTTCAGGGGAGGATTTGACTTCCAACAGCAATGGATGTGCTCGGTTCCAGCAAGGTCAGCCTCTGCCAGACTCCAGGAATCTGATCCACTGATCTCTAACCTTTGCTGGGTACCTGTAGCCAAGGACTCAGTGAGACAGGTTACAGAGGTCAAGCCATTTTAATCCATTACAGGACAGCATTGGCTTGTTGAGGTTTTGCCTGGCTTGCTTGACTCCTTCTTCCTTTCACATACAATGAGCCCTAATGAACATCTTGAGCCCCATGATACATCTCAGAATCTGATCTGGAGAAACTGAGCCTTGACCGTGAGTGACTACTACATTTCAGGGCTAGATTTTTATTCACAATCCCATGCCCCTCTCCCACACACACACTTTTTTTCCCTCTAGTTTTCAAATAGTACTTTGCCCAAAAGACAGTATTTTATTAGTTTTACATCTAAGGATAGAAAATCGGAAATTCTCTTTTTAGTTGAAATCACAGAATTAGTAAATTGTGAGAAAAGAATACAGTTAAGACTTCAAGTCTAGTAGCCTAGCATCCTTTTGCTCATTCATTTTTCTAAAGATTTCAAAGATGTTTTGATGGATATTCAATTTAGGTCAAACACTGTTGTGTGCCTAAGTAGGAACGGGAAAAAATCCTGGGAGCAGAAGCAGATGTCCCAGCCCTTGTGAAACTTGTGGTCTAGTAAGGAAAATAGACATATCTCAGTTAGTCACATTTCCATAAATCACAACACCTTGCATCAAAAAAAGAGGTCTACAAAGTCAGGCAAACCTATACAGGGAAGGTTTGAAGAACTGCAAGAAATCGTAGGGGGCTTTCATCATGAAAAGTAGCATTCCATCTCATATCAAAAGGTGGGTGAGGTTTATACAGGTAAATAAGCAAGGAAAGAATATTTAAGACAGAAATATGACAGAAACTCCAAAAGGCCTTAGGACATAAGTTATCATGATAAAAAGAAAGATCCATGTAACAAGAGCATAGTAGGAAAGGGACTGAAATGGGCCGAAAGAGGTACATGCAGAATAACAAAGCCTAAGGTAAAGGGTATTTTCTCCATTTTAAGAGGGAAGAAATTCTGGTCAGTATATTATAATTGTACATAATATTGGAGTTCATTCTGACATAATTATACAAGCATGGGATATAATTTGCTCTAATTCAGTCCCTAGTATTTTCCCCCTTCTCCCCCTTACTGCTTCCCCTGTTCCCTTTCATCTACTCTACTCATCTTTTTTTCTATTTATTAATAGTTTTTTCATTCTTAATTAGTGCATTACAAGTATACATAAAGGAGAAATTCTCAGTGGAATATTCATATATGTACATAGGATAGTTTGGTCAGAATCATTCCACTGTTCCTCTCCATCCCTCCTCCTTTCCCCTCAATCCCCTTCCAATATTCCCCTGAATAACCTTCTATTTTTATATGATCCCCACTTTTTTCTTTATTTTGGTCTATTTTGTCCACATATGAGAGAAAACATTCAACCCTTGACTTTGTGAGTCTGGCTTATTTCACTTACCATGATGTTCTCCAATTTCATCCATTTACCAGCCAATGCCATAGTTTCATTCTTCTTTATGACTGAGTAAAATCCCCGTGTGTGTGTGTGTGTATATATATATATATATATATATATATATATATATATATATAATTTGCTTTATCCATTTATCTGTTGATGGTACATTGGCTGCTTCCATAACATGGCTACTGTGAACTGAACTGCTATAAACATTGATGTGCAGAAGCTTTCTATGAAATCTAAGCCAGAGATGCTAAGTGCTTCACATGGAAAGCTACAAGATAGGACTCAACTAGATAAATCAATATTTTACCCAATAAAAATGCCACTTTACTCTCAAGAGGAGAACTTGATCATTTTTTTCTCTTCCTTCTCATTTCTTTTTATTGTAATCCATTGTCCACATAATGCTGGATGTCTCTTTTTAAATCAGTGTGATCATAGTCGGCTTATGCTGGAGACCCTAGGATGGTTGTCTACATCCTACAAAATGAAGTGTAGACACCTTAGCCTCGAATGTAAAGCTCTTCCCAATGTGATTCCAAGCAATGTTTTTAGCTTCATCTCCTGCCATCTCTCTTTCCCTAGGCATACCATTCTTCTTCCATAATTGCCCAGGTGTGTTCCAGCAGAATATGCTAACACATGCCTCCTTGGTTTAGCATGTACTCTCTCTACATCTGGAATTCTCTTCCTTTTATTTCAATTTAGAAACTACTTCCTTAGACTTCAAGACGTGTTTCATAGGCTGCCTCTTTTGAAGAGTCTTCTTGTTTTATCTTTATCTCATAAAAAAAACAAAAAACAAAAACAATTTGTAAACCTTTCTATCATCTCCTTCATTATAATATTTTATGTTGATCTTTTTATTTATTTTTATTCTTAAAGTGTTTCTTATGAATTACAGAATTTGAGAAAGGAACAACAGTTACACTTCAAGGGTTTTTTTTTTTTTTTGGTGTGTGTTTGCTTATTTTCCAAAAAGATATAACATCTGAAATGTCAGCAAGGTCAAGAGCTGAACATAGGCAGTATGTATCATTGTCTTACACTTTTAGCACTCAAGACATCAAAAACACTTACATAGGAGATCCTTAACTTGTAGGAAAACTTCCATGAAAACTATACTAATATTCAGATTAAGAGCAAGCATAAATATATCAGTCTTCCCTCTTTCTTAAACTAAAAACAGTGCCACCCAGGAAAAAGCAGAGGGGTTATTAGAAGGGATGGTCTGAACAGAACAGAAATTCTTGGTAATAGTCTATAAATATGAAAGATCTGGCATTGAGTGATACATTAGTCACATACTAGCTATTTGAATTTGGGGGTAATTTACTTCAAGTTTCTGCCCTTGCAAAATCTGAATCAAATTAAGTACCTCATTGGGTAGCATAGCATCCTGTCCATGGAAGGAATCACAGAAAGGTTGCTGTGAGAGTAATATTATTATGCCTGGGAGTACAAAGGAAAAGCATGTTAATCCTTACAATAGTTTTTAATTTCTTTATAAACTGGGTTTGAAATGAAAAAGGAATATCTAGAAAAATTCAAAGTGTTTTCTTTCCTTCAAAAAATTTGTAGAAATTAAGAGAAGTCACTGGCTACATTTTCAAAATAATTTGTTTGGTTTAAGCCATTATTTTCTAAACTTGGGCAAGGTATACTATTAAATACAAGTGCCTTAAATGATCCTATATTGATAGAGCAGACCGAAATTTGTAATATTGTGGATAGTCATATTGTTTGCTTAAATGGGAACTATAACACTATTCAAAAATTTATTGAAAAAGTCTTAATTTGGTCAAAATAAATTTTTAAATATAAGTGGAGGATATAGAGAAGGACTTAGCAGGTATAGCTTATTTTTAGTGTTTCTAAAAATCACACAGTTGTTATTTCTTTTTTAGCAAAAGAATACCTTTCCTAGGAAATTCTACATGGAGACCTAATCTACATAACAAATAAATTCAAAATTTCTAATAAGTGATGCGAGTTCTCTCTCTCAACCACCCTTACATTCCCCTATTCTCATCCTCCTGAATGCATGCATCATTTAGTTGAAATTCTCACAAAAGCTCTATGAGGTAAGTTCTTTATTATTGCTTGTCTTTGCTTGCTTTATCATATCTTTCTGTTTTTGCCATTCTGTGATGATCAACCAAAATCATATAAGTAGTGTTTGATGGAGTTGGGTTTAGGCCATCTACAGAACACCTACAGAACCCTCACTAATAACCTGAAGTTTTTATGCCTATTAAAAGCCCAACATCATTCTCATAAGTGAAAATTCTCTCAGTATTGATTTCCTGTCAAATGAAATAGAAGAAACAGTAATTATTGTCATATTATTGTTAATATTGATATAACATCCAAAAGGAGCATACTTAAATATCCTGATTCAGTGTGACATTTTTAAAATAAATTTAACATTAATGAAATGACTTTTGAGGCTAAAATTATATTAACTATACCAAAATTTGCAAGAATAGAAGCTAATGAAGGAAATAGAACAGGTATTTCAATAGAAATAGGTTTATTGTGGATAAACCGGTTGGGCAGGGCAGCAGAGACTGAAACCCATCTTCCCCTTACATCTTGGAGTAGATATAGAAACATTAGGGAATGGGGAAATTTTTGCAATTAGGTTATTTTAGTGGTTTGTCAGGGAAGAGTCTTGTGGTCGTCACCTCCATTCTTTGAAGTGATTACTGTTCCCTGCTAACCAGGCATCTTCAGAATTCCAGTCCTAGGTAGCAATCTCCTTTCTTTGCATGATGATGGAGTATTGTCTGAGGTTTACTTCAGGCTGAGTCAGAATGACTGTGAGGTGACTCTTGTTCTAAGGTATATGACATGTTTCATAGTGTTGCCCATGTCAAGTTCTACCTAACAAAGTTCTTCATTTTATCCACTTCTATAAATTTCCTCATCTTTAAAAAAGGCAAATATATATCCCAAAGTCCCAAAAGTAGAAATCCTCAATGGTACCATAGTGTAACATGCAGTCAGTATTTGTCAGTTAGTTTACTTTTGTATGGTTTCTGATATACATGACTATTACTTTCTGCCCTTTGTATAAGATATGCTTCTGATTTTCCCCTATAACCCTTTCTTTTACCTCTCTGGCTTATTTCTAGATCGTTTTTTTAACATACACATCTTTTAAGTGAAAATCACAGAATTCAGTGTGACCTCCCCTTTCAATTTTATTCTCTAAAACTCTTACTCAAGTGTACTCATATCATCAAATACTATCCACATAACTGGCTGGTGACTGCAGCTGAGTCATCATTACCTCTGCCCTCTATGCTCAGAGTCAAAATTTAGCATCCCATAGTCCAATCTGGAGCTTTTCATACATTGTGCAATTTTCATGTGGCTAACATAGTATCATCAAGCGAAATGGATGAGACAAGAGATATTTGAAAAGGTTTGTTGAGAAATGAAACAATACAATGAAGCAACTATTTTAGGTTAATGGGAGACCCTTTGTTCTCCTTCCATTTCCCTCTTTCTTCTCCTCTCCTTCCCTCTCTTCTCCTTCCTATCTTCTTCCTCACCCAGCCTTTCCTTTCCACTTCTTTCTTCTCTCTCTTCACCTATTTTTTTTCTTTTTATCTCTTTTCTAATTCCAATGCCTCCACTTGATATCTGGTTCTTAAATCACCCCAGCCTTAGTAACCTTAGAATAGTCCTGATTTCCCTATTGGTAGGTAATAGTGCAGGGACACCAAGATATCACAGGGAAAGTGTCCAAAGTATGTTGTTTGGAGGACAAAACAGGGCAGCAAGTGATATCCCTGTTTAAGATAAGTCTCATTACCAATGGCAACTGTCACCAGTAAGGACTTATAACCATGTCAACCCCTGCCACAATGACCAATGGGGGTCAAGTGGGCCATATTCTAATTAAGTTTTCTAAAGTAACCAGTGAGGGAAAATTTGGACAATATTCTAATTAGGTATAATAAGGTAGCCAATGGGGGGTCAAGGGGATAGGTCTTCAATCAGATCCATATAAGGAAGAGAATGCCTCACAGCTCAGCTGTGACACTAATTTCCAGACATTGGGGCTTGAGTGTCTCTCTTGCTCAGCCCACTCTGCTCTACCTTATGGAGTGTTATTCCACCTTCCCTTTCAATAAATTTGTACTTTGCTTGTTACTTGTGAGTGTTCTTGTTCAATTCTTTGTTTAGGACACCAAGACTTGAACCCAACTAGACACCCTGATGATAACACTATGCATAATTCCTTTCTTTCCTTCTGAGTGCAAGAGGAGACAGTCACTCCTAAAACTATTTCTGCAGCCTAAGAAACTCAGCCCCAGTTGCACATGCCATCTCCTTTGCTGTTTATCATGGATCACCTCTTTTGACCCCTAAATCTCACCCCAAGATTGTAGACAGCCTGATGTGTCATTTGAGAAAAAAAAAATATCTAGTCCTAATCACCATGGTGGTTGAGTTACAAGAAAGCTTTTGCTCTCCCATTTTTTGTACTTGGGCATTCAAAGACTATCTTCAAAGTTATCTAGTTTTATGTCCCTTCACGGACAAAATCTTGGCTGGCATTATTTTCTCTCCAAAGTAACAGATCTTTTAAGTCCCACTTTCCCACCTTCACCCCATCTACCCCGGAACCTATTCATTTCATTGGTGTGACTTCAGGCTGAGTTTGGAACCGGATGTGATGATATTCGTTTTCATTTTTATAACTGGAATCAAAGCATTCAAAATAAAAACATTTTTTACAAGAAGCTCATCACAATACCCACCCTGAATTCTTCAGGGTGAGATGAATTTCACTGGATAGCCCAGGTGCATCTCTATACTTAGGAGCTTGGATCACTCATTGCTGTCATCAAGAAAAAGTGCTTCCTTCAAATTTGCCAAATCACAGGTTTGCAGGGCAATGCTTCAAAGCAGCTCTCTCCCATTGTTATGGGGATGAGGGTAAGTGGCAGAGATAGGTACCAGGTATTGCTGAAAGAGGCTTTGAAATCAGTCACAAATGCTTTGGGAGTGGTTGGGGGCAGGAGAAGATCATGTGCATGATAGTCTCAAATGGAACAAAACAAAACAAACAAAAAACAGCCCATAATCACCAGTGAGAGGAAAATGCACAAATCACCAACAGTTATTTGAATTGTGCTTATTGCAGGTGTCTTTCCTGCAAATGGCATACTCCTAAATTAATTACATTGCAATGCCTACTTAATAATGCCAGATTGCTTTCTGGTAAATTTTTCAGACCTCTATCTCATATTATGACTTTGAAAGAATACAACCACAAAAGAAAGAAAAATGAAATATGTTCCTCTCCATGAGAGTGCATGGTGACTTTTGTATTACAAGTAACACTTATTGTTATATGGTTAATGAGAAAATTAAGCCCTGGCTGCAATGCCACATTTCCCTTTGTTCTTAATGAACACTGACATTTGTGCACAATTAACAATGACACATATAATCATATGAGCCTTTGCTCGGATTCCAGCTCAGTACAGTTGGACCATAAGGAGAGCTCCCTGTGAGATCAGATCAAAGCCTCTTTGCAGTGTGTCTTTTCAGAGCATGGCAGAGATGAATTAATCGTATCTCTCTGATTTTAAGTAGTATGGCCAAAGAGTAATTGGGGAAAAGACATGGTCATGGTACAGGGAGCCAGCCTCTAAAGAGGTTCATGTCACAAAAGAGACAAGGTGTCATGCCCAGCAGTGTCTGTTTGCAATTTTCTGCTTTATAATTTTCTCACAGATATTTAAAATTAATTTAGCTCTCTTCTCTTTTAATAAGAGATAGAACAAAGTGCTCTTTGGTCATCATTCATAGCACATTAACTACAATTATATCAACATATCTTTGTCTGCTTCTTTATGGAGTTTTTAAATTTTTTTTCCCTTTCCATCCTCCTTTGGAGAGCTCTTGGGAAGCAACTTTAGCTAATAATTAATAATGAGAAGATTCTCCTGAGGAAATCGTTTTGAATTGTTATGTTCTTCCTATAAATTGTCATTTCAGAATTCTAATCAGCAGAATTTGGATTCCAAATGGTAGGTAATTACAGTGGCCCATTGCATCTGAATTGATTAATATGTAAATGTAACTAATTCCACCTTCAAAGTCAATATAAAGCAATGTGCATACTCATGGAGAAGGGAGTTTATGTGATTGGGAACTTTGAGAGAAAAACCAGATGCTGAGATAACAAAAGCCTGTTTTGCAATCTCCACATAAATTGTTCCTCTCTCTCGCTTTGTTTTTTAAATTCAATTGCACTTTATTGTCTCATTGGTCGCTGCCATAGCTCCTGCAAACATCTCAGTTCTTTCTGCCTTGCTACACAACCCCCATTCAAATCATATCAATGTTTGTCTGCCTGAAACATGATAAAGCTCAATGGCACTGTCATCCAAGGCACTCTAACTGTCTAGCAATGCTTAGTAAAGGAAACCCTCCAAATCTTGACAGAAAGCCAAAAGCAGAACAAACAGTTTAGAGATCACAGGGCAATGACCAGCTGCAAAAGACTCAAAGGTGTAATGAATGGCATAACAAAATCAAGGACAGGATATCTGAAGTGGACAATTCAACTGAATTGAGGTCAAATTTCAGACTCCCTTTTCTCTCCTATTTCAGTTAAAAACCACATCTTTTCTAGTCTGTTACTCTTTGTGGATTCCTGCAGAATACAAATTAAAAACTTTGAAACTTTATTTCCAAACATTATTTCACACAATTTAAAAAGCAGATTACAGCTCTTTCAGGGATGAGCAAGGTAAACCATTGGCATATCTAACTGCATGTTAGAAACAAGAGTTCATTGTGTTTGTTCATTTTGTTTGTTGTAGTCCACGTTTAGGATTCACCTACAGGGATTGTTATTTATTTGGTGAATGCAGCACAAGCAGGCAGATTTCAAAATCTCTACAAGTAATGTTATTCTGAAGCCAGGTAGAGAACCACCTTTAATCAATTAAGTCTAATTCTTTCTGTGTTTCCCAGATGTGCCAAATAAGTTGTCCTAAAGCTGGGCTAATGAGAAACAGGTTATCTGAATATGAAGTAAGGAACAGTAGTTCTAACATAAGCATTTATCCGTTCTTGTATCTATTCAGCAAATATTAATTGAATATATGCACTGTTTTGTTCACCTCTGATAGTACAGTGAATAAATTTGATAAGCCCCTACCTTCAGAGAGCTTCATTGCTCATGAAAAACACACTAGTTAGTCAACAAATAAATGAATTAATTGCTGGATGATAATCAGAAAATGAGAATTCTACAAACTACATACAACAGGGTGTTGAATGTAGTAAATGATAGAGAAGAGCTGGCTTAACATGTTGGAGGAACAGCTCTCAAGTTCAGTGAAGCTGTCATGGGGCGGCAGGGAAATTGGTTACTCTAAGACCAAGAAGAAGCCAAAGACCACAGTAGGCAACTCCCTCTCAGTTATGGATAGGAGTTGGGCTTTTGTTCTGATTTATGTTGGGAAATTATGTTAGTGTTATGGTTCAGATATGAGGTGTCCCCCAAAAGTTCATGTGAGAAAATGCAAGAATTCTCAGAGGGAAGATTATGAGAGGGGTGAACTAATTGGTGGATTAATCCATGGATATGGGTTAAATTTGCAATAACTAGAGAAAGTACATGGCTGGAGGAAGTATGCCACTGTGGCCATGACTTTTAGGTTTATATTTTGTCCCTGGTGAGAGAAGCCCTCCTTCTGCTTCCTGGCTGTCATGTCTTAAGCTACTTTCTTTTTCCACATCTTTCACCACGATGTTTGGCCTCATCTTGGGCCAGAGCTATGGAGTTGGCTGACCATAGACTGAACTTCTGAAACCAAAAGAAGCCAAAATCCTCTATATTGTTCTGGCTGGGTCTTCTGTTCAGCGTAATAAAAGAGCTAACTAAAACATTTGGGGTTGATTAAGTGGAGTATGTTATGAGGAAAATGTTGGATACAGGTGGGACAAAGAGATCATAAAGAGTGGCTTCACTGATCACCATCAGTAATGACAAGGAAATGAGTGGCTATGACCATTAGAGTTTATGTCTGAGCTGCAGGAGTTTTGTTGTTATTGTTGTCTGTTTGCTTGGTTTTTCTAAACTATATCACAGCCCCACCACCACTTTTTTGTGCCCTGCCTATTCCTTCTGATGATGTTTTGATAGGCAACAACATATTAAAGGAACCCCAAAACTTAAGAGTGTAAGTAATAACCCTCAAGTATATGATATAACTATGTTCAGCAAAAAATGGCTCTCTTCTGTCCTTACCACACACAGGAGAGCCACATTTTTCCTTCTTGACCTGACATGTACAATTTTAAGAAGGAAAGGTTTGTTTGGGGGTTCATGGTCTCAAAGTTCTCAATCCATAGTCATCCTTTCCTTAGTCTCAGGTGAGGCAAAATATTATGGTGGAAAAGTGTGGTGGAGGGAAGCAGCTCCCATGATGGTTAGGGCACTGAGGGAAACTAAGCTCAGCTCACCAAATATATAACCCAAAGGCATGCCCCCAATGACCCACCTCCAGCTATGCCCTATCTGCCCTCACTTACCACTCCGTCAGTCCCCATTAATTCACTGATTGTGTTAAGGCTGTCATAACACAATCATTTCATTTCTGAATGTTCTCGTATTATTTCACACATGAGCTTTTGGGGGACACCTCCCATTTAAACCATAACAGTCTGGAGGTGATTAAAGTGAAACAGGATGTAAAGGATGTGGACATACCAAGGATCATAAGTCAAGCAGTATTGTCAATGTCCTTCCTGTGTTTCAGAGGTGGCAGTAGGCACTTACTTTATGAACCTGTTTAACACTCAGCCCAGAGAGGTAGGTTTCTTCTACAATTTATAGGCTCAACGACTAAGGGTAGATTCACTCTTTGATCCTAGAAGCTAGCTACTCTTTATTCCAAAATCAATGTTATTAACCAGCTTATCCCACTTTCAACCACTAGTTCCATCTACATTTGGATGACATGGAAGCGCCTCCAGGAGAGAAGAGAGGGGTCCATCCACAACACATGCTCCCACTTCCTTTCTTTATCATTTCTGTAGGAATCATCTTGCTTCACAGAATCATAGAGCAATTTTGGATCTATCTAGAAGGGTTAGTGAAGACCACCACCTTTCATTCTGCAAGAAAGAAAACTGCACAGCTTTCTAAAGCTAGAATAGAGTTTAGGTACCAGAATTCACATTCTTAACCCAGTAGTATCTTTTTTAACACACTAGGCAGCTAGCCGTTGGCTCTTTTGGAAATGACGTGTGCTTCAATTCTGACCTATCCTAAGCCAAAGACTACCAGAATCTTAAGGAAGACCTTGGAAACTGTCTCCCAATGTTACCTGGGAATCACTGTTACCCAGAGTTCCACATCTGCTGAGTGGATCAGATTCTCTATAATCTGCTCTGTAAAAGAATCTGAGATATTCCAGTTCTTTACAATATATCATCTTCACACAATAAGAAAGCCAGGAGAACTGTGATGTCTAGTATTTGTTCAATCCACAGTGACTATCCTAGAATTTCTCAGAGCCATCCCTTTCTCTTAGAATGCTTTACCCTCACTGGAAATACCTTTCTTATTTTTGAGAGAGAACTGGGAAGCTAGCATGTTGCCCAAGTCTGTCATTATTTGATATCATTATCTGATGTCATATTTTGCATGCTATTAGACAAAGGCAATTACCAACTGCATAATATGGTGTCCCCTTTTCTGTCTGCAGGAGACACAGTCACTCACACATTTTCTAAAATTTGTTTTTGTAGTTTGTAGATGAACAGCATACCTTTATTCTTTTTATTTATTTTTATGTGGTGCTGAGGATTGAACCCAGTGCCTCACATGTGCTAGGCAAGTGCTCTACCACTGAGCTACAGCCCCAGCTGCTCACGCATTTTATATGCTTAGTTCAGAGTTAGGTATTTGGAACACTAAGAGTCATTAAAACCTAATCCCTGCCTTCAAGGAGCCAAAATCCTATGAAAAGATTAATAGATTAACAGACAATGGCAAAGCATGTCATAATTCCTCTGGAAACCTCTGAGGACATGTTTTTGGTTGGGTTAATCCTGTAAATATTTAAATCTATATATATCATGTTAGAGGCCATTTATATTGAATTTCTCTTCTGAGTTCATATCATGTCCTCTTGTGTGACATTACTGTACATAGCACTTAGTTTTGTAATTCATCAAATAAAAATTTATGATATATATCTATTAAAGTGTTATTATAACATATCATCTATTTATGCCTCATGTACTGAGTTAAAACATTGAAGAGAGGTGTTTTGTGTGTGTGTGTGTGTGTGTGTGTGTGTGCCCATGTACATTGTTTTAAGAGCAAATTCCAAAGTTAATATAATTGTAGGTGTTCAATTTTTTTTGTTTTTTTTTGTCAAAAAGTATATCACATAATTCATCAAACCACAAATAAAATTAGGTCTTTAATAAACTTTTATAAATCTTTCAATAATGATATGAAACACATTGAGCTCACAAATTTGATTTCCAACTTGGAGTGACTTCAATCTGGCTGGTATTAATAGCTACAGACTTTATTTTCTCTCTTTAAATGTATGTCTACAGTAAACGATAAATCTATTAATTAAAGTACATTATTTTAGTATCCTATCTTCATTATATCTTGCCAGTAGCATAGCTTAAAAAGTAATCTCCAACCCCCTGCCAAATGTTTTTCAATCACAATTTGTCAACCACACTATAATCCCAAAATAAGATCCAAAAGGACTTTGTTGAGCAAGTGTTGCACACAAAAGTAAAGTTGTAAAAGAGAAAAAAAAATGTTTCTTATTTTTGCTTACTTAAAACACTTGACAACGAATCATTGAATCTTCCCATCTGCCATCCTACCCTTCTTCAGTTTCCGTCAGGTAGGTCATGCTATTATGCACATGCTGCTATGGAAGACATGCAAAATATTAATATTCACAAGTTCTCTTGCAAATCAAGGTCCTTCCAAAAGAAAAACAATAGAAAGGTACTCTGTGCCCCAAATGTTCTCAAAGTCATGGATTAATAAATACACTCCTTTCTATCCAAAACCTTGACAGTGTATTCTTTTGTTAGATTAATATGGCATTTCGAGCCTTCTTTGTACCACTTTTCATTTCGCTGATCTGTTGGCTCATAGACTTTATTTTCACTTCTCCACCATACACACATTCCTGCAGCCTTGTGCATGTTATCAGTTGTCATTACATCAGTGACAGAACAACATAAACTCACTCAACAACAAGATTAAAGTGGCCATAGAGCAAAACCAAAACTCTTCATTTATGGAAAGGTAATATACATGGCAAATTATCCTCAGAGCAAGAAAGACTTTTCTCTGTATTCTATAATTTTCAGGCAACCACTGAAAACTTTTTCTTGGGCTCTGTTCTTTAAACACATTAAACAGCTTGTTGTAAAGGAAGAGCTGCTTGTTTGCTGTTCCCTCTACTTACGAGTGTCTTCTCATTTTGATTAATTCCTTCTCTCTTCCATTAGATATTCATATAGATATTGCCCCCACCAAATCATTCTCTAACTTCCTAGGTGTCTGATAACCCTGCTCTGAGCACCTAGAACCATTAGTATCTACAAAAGCCTTTATTAGCCAGACTTAATGGCCTTCCCCCCTCAAGGAATTGTGACCTTCTTGGAATAAGAACCACATCTGGTTGGGAATGTTGGCACATGTGTAATCCTAGAAACTTGGAAGCCTGAGGCAGGAATATCGCAAGTAGAAGGCTAGCGTCAGCAAATTTTCGAGGTCCTAAACAACTTAGTAAGACCCTAGCCCAAAATAAAAAATAAATTAATTAATTAAAATGGCTGGGGATATAGCTCAGTGATAAAGCAATGCTGGGTTCCATCTCCAGTATCTCCAGTACAAAAACAACACACACCACATCTTATTTACTTACATATCTGTAGGGTTCTGATCTTTTGGCAGATGTTATATGCAGAAGGATCCAACACATTTAAGATTTCCTATGATTTCCCCAAAGAGTTGTAGATGCAATTACTTTTAAGAAACACATTCAAAATTTCACTTGGAAGCTTTTAGTTCTATTTCAGAAATATCTAGAAGGATTTCTTGATTTCCAGTGCGTAGGATACTGTAGAAGGGAGAAAGACTTCCAGAATCAGGAACACTGGGCTCAGAAGCAAAATAAGACTTGATATAACCTGGGCATAAAGAAACAGGAGAAAA